TACTGGGAAATAGAGAAAAAGTATTTGGTGATGCCCTCTGACTGTACAGGCTACCAAAAGGACATATTAGAGCACTTGAATGGAAAAATGTTATAATATTACACGGAGCAGGCATTGAGGAAGACGTGCACACTAGGCACCGTTTCTTAGTGTATTTTGGCCTCCTGCAGAATTTTTAATTAAAGGTTGGTATTAACAAGAAAATACAGATGAACATATTTCCACTGCTGGTGCTTTGCACCCCAGCAGGAGACTGACGGATCAGGTAGAAAAGTTGCTCACTCAAAGCTTTGACTCAGTCTAATCCCTGCAGAAAATGTTCCCTCTGTGCCATCATCAAGCCTTCTCACAGTGGGCACAGCCAGACCTGCCCTCACTTCCACCTCCACCTGAGGGTAGCATCTTTCTCCACCCCCCAACTTTGCCTAGCATCTTTAAACCTGTCCCTGCTGCCCTAGGCCTTAGCCATCCCAGGTTCTACAAGTTCCTCTAACAGAGAGTAAACTGCAAGATAATACATAAAGCCAAAGGGGAAGTGTGTTCCTCTCTTCCCAGGCACTATTAAAGGTGAGCTTCTTAATGAATTATTCACAAAGTATCAACTGGTAACCCAGGTTGTATTGTTTCTTTACTTTCTCTGTTTTCACAGCTCTACCCTGGGGCCAGCTGTGGTTGAATAAGATGGGAGAGGAGGAGGGGGAAAAAGAAAAACTTTCCATTGCTGTTCTCCCAGGGCTGTAGGACAGCACTTTTATTTCAGTAGATAATTTTTAGTCCTTCTGCCCACAAAAGATGAAGATTTTTACTTTATTGACAACTGCAAAATAGGTTTGTATTCATTCCAATATTCTTTACTTGAACAGTTGAAACTTTGTTACATATTGTTGACTAATTTGGGAGAACACCTGTGTGTATGTATGTTTGTTTATGTATGTACACACATTAACATGTCTTTAGTTTTTTTTAAATTTCTGTTCATTTTAATGAATATTTATTAATGATTATTAGCCAGGTTTTATGCTAGGCATTTTATGTTAAATGCTTAATGAATTGTTTACTCTCCAATAGCTCGCATGATTTATTTTTCCAGATTAGAAAAGTAATGTAAGTTTAATATAGAAAGAAAACATAAAGACAAATGCAAAGAAGATAATAAACATCAAGAATCTATTATCCTAAGACAACCAGTTATTTTGGTATATGCATTGCCAATAATTTTTATCATTTTTTTAATCTTTTCCCTTTTTTCAGTAATTTGTAACACGCATATAATCTATGCGTGTTATTACTTTTCTTCACTCAGCAGTATTTCATTTTTCATATTATTATTCTTTATGTACATTATTTTAATAGATTCCCAAATAAATTACATTTTAATGCTTCAATGTATGCACTGTACATTTTTCCATTATGAATAATGCTACAGTTAACACACTTGTACATAAATTGTATCATTCCTTTTACATTTTTAAACAAATTTAAATGTTCACATTGGTTTAACTACCATCTGAATCAAGCTGTAGCTTCCACATCTTCAAGCATTTCTCTTAAGTCCCTATGTGGTCAACATCCCCACCTGCTTAGTCAAAAGCAAGCAATGATTTGCCTGCAGAAGAGGTTTGCTAGTTCTAGAACTGTGTATCAATGCAGTCATACAGTGATTCTCTTTTATTTTCTGAGATCTTTTTGAGATTCATTCATTTTGGAGCATGCTATAAATAATTTTTGTTCTTTTTAATGCTGAATATTATTCCATTTTATGAAACTATTTATTAATATTTTCTCTATTATTATATTTCATCTAAGTTTTATTGATTTCATTTTTAAATTTAATTATCAACTATTTTATATTTGAATATTCACTTTAATTTTCTGTAATTGATGGTGCATTATTTGGACATTTGTGTTATTTACATTAGGAACTTTTACAAAGTTGCTATAAATATGTGTGTAAAAGTCTATATTTAATGACTATAAGAGAATCTGTATGTAAAAATAAATGAGTGTATATATATACACACACATATATGTATATGTATACACATACACATATATACACATGAAATGAGTACACACACACACACACACACTCATTTCTCTTGGATAGATATTTTGGAGTAAAGTTACTAGGTCTTATTGGAAGTATACCTTTAAGTTTATACAAAAGATTGTTCTCCAAAGTTGTTTTTTACATTTTAATTTACAACCAGCAATATACAAGGCATTATTTATTATTACCACTATTGGATACTGCCAGTCTTTCTAATTTTAGCCATCCTGGTGGGTACATAGGTACAGTCTCACATGGCTTTAATAAAAAGTTGACTTAAAAGTTGTAGCATTTTGTAATGAACATATTGGACATTTGTGCCTTTAGTGAAATATATCTTTGTTGCTCAACAGTATTTTTTTCCATTTTTAAAAATTGGATGTTTGTCTTCTTATTGTGGAATTGATTGAGTTCTTTATTATATTCTAAATGCAAGCCCTTTGTTGGATAAATGTGACCGTTTCTCCAGTCTGTGGCTTGTCTTTCATTTTCTTTAGCAGTGTCTTTGAAAGAGCAGACATTGTTAATTTTGATGACATGCAATTTTATCAATTTTTACTTGTGATTTGTTGTTTATATACTAAGAAATCTTTGTTTATCCCAAGATCTCAATTATTATTATTTCCATTTTTTTTCTTTCAGAAGTCTTATAGTTTTAGCTTTTACATTTAAGTATATGATCCACTTTGAGTTAATTGTGATGTATGATGTAAGAAGTTTGTTTTTTTTCATGTGGATATTCAAATGTTTCAACACAATTTGTTGAAAAATGATTTCCTTTTTAATTAGCATAGCAATCTGGTCAAAAATCTATTGAAATACATAGTTTTGTTTCTGGGATGTCCATTCGGTTCCATTTTTCTGTTGTTACACATGCCAGTACCTTTGGGCATAATTTTTGACTTACGATAATTTCCTAGACTTGGGATACTAGGTTCAAAAGGTATCTCATTTTTTAAGGCCATTGAATATGCCTGAATTTCTTTCTGGTAAGATTGTAGCTGTTCATTCTTCCAGGTACTTTCCCAATCTTCAATATTGGTTGATTTACTTTAAAGAAATTGTCAACTTAATTTTTGGAAACTGTTATATCATTGTTTTAAAATGCTTATTTATGTCTTGTCACAGTATTCATTGTCTATTTGTCTATCTTGTGAACTGTGTTTTTTTTAATCACTTGTGTATATTTCAATATTGAACTTTACTTCTTTCCTTAGTATTTATAATCTATTTAAATGATAAGGATATGACACTTTTTTCTACCATATTTATACATAGGTATACCAAATAGTTTATCAGTTTATTTGCATTTTAACTTTGTTAGACTTCTGATATCATAAACCATTTAAACATTAAATGATTTCAGAATAGACATTAACATCATTTTTAATAGTCTGTAAAAAAAAAATCCTGCTAGGATTTCTGAATCAAGTTCCATGAAATACATACATGTATTTAGGTAGAAACAGTATTTTCACACTATCCATTCATATCCATCTTCACACTATTCATATCCATGGTATGTCTCCACTTAATATAGGCTTGTTTCTTTTGTAAAGTCCTGTAAACTTTCTCACAGAAGCAAATATTTCTTGGAGCCTGAGTGTGATGGTGCTTACCTGTAATCCCAGCAGCTCTAGAAGCTGAGGCAAGAGGATTGTGAGTTTACGGCCAGCCTCAGCAAAAGTGAGGCACTAAGCAACTCAGTAAGACCCTTTCTCTAAATAAATACAAAATAGGGTTGGGGATGTGGCCACTGCCAACTCAGTAGTTGAGTGCCCCAGAGTTCAATCTCTGGTACACAAATTAAAGAAGCAGCAGCAAATATTTCCTATTAAGCGTATGATTTTTTAGCTTTTTTTTCAGTTTAGTAGATGGACACAATGCCTTTATTTATTTTTCTTTACATGGTGCTGAGGACTGAACCCAGTGCCTAACATGTGCTAGGTGAGCACTCTGCCAGTGAGCCACAATCCCAGACCCAAGCCTATTCTTACACATGTTAAACTATGTGAATATGGCCAGCATCTTTTTCAAATTGCATTTTAACACTGTTACTATTAAAATATAGTAAACTATTTTGCTTATTGCTCTTTCATCAAGCCTCTTGGCTGGATTAATATCAATTTGGAATCATTGTCATTTGCTATCCATGGATTTCCTATCTATAAATTATTTTTCTTAACAGATACTGATATTTTAGTCATTTTGTTACCAGGAGTTTTTCCAGTTATTTTGCTTTATGTCTTATTGAATTGGCTACAACTTCTGCAACAGTTCAAAGTAATTGAAATAATAGTAGGTACATAGTCTTAAAATCACAAATAGAATTTATAGACCATACAGAACTATATTTAAAATGAAGATTACTTGGGATAAAAATATAGAAATATTCTACATTAATTCCAAATGGGTTTATGAATTTCCCTTGTAACTACAGGTACTGTGCTTTAACATCTTGAATGACAAGGAAAAAAATGCCTGTTTGAGTTTCCTAGGGGTGCCATAACAAAGTACCATAGATCCCATCCACAGGAGATATATTCTAAGACCTCCCCCATGGCTTCCTGAAACCATGGATAGTACTGGACCCTACATACATGAACCCCCCATTTAGTATGTTTTGCCCTGTACGTATGTTCCTATGATAAATTTATAAATTAGGCACACTAAGAGATTAACAACAAAAACTTAATAAGATAGAACAATTACTGCAATATGCTGTTACAAAAGTTATGTGAATGTAATCTCTCTCAAAAGAGTCAAGACAAATAATAATATTTGACCACAGGTCAATGGTTGACCACAGGTGCCCAAAACCTCAACAAGTGAAACTACAGGTAAGGGGAGACTACCATCCCCCACACCGGTGACTTAAAACAGCAGCAATTTATTCCTCCACAGTTTTCAGGCATAAGTCTGAAATTAAGGTGCTGGCAGGGCCACTCACCCTCTGTGGTCTCCACAGGAGGATCCTTTCTTGACTCTTGCAGCTTCCCATAGCGCCAGGCATTCCTCCACAGGAGACAGCTTGACTCCATTCTGCAGCTGTCTTTTGAGATTCTGTCTCCAGGCACAGGGGCTCCTGCCTTTGTACTTCACCCTTCCTATAAAGACACCAGTGGTGTTGGATTAGGACCCACCATAATGACTTCTTCTTTATTTGGTTACATGTGCAAAATCCCTGTTTTCACATCAGGTCATAGTCGCAGGAGGCCAGGGTTAAGACTTATTAAAAGAAAACTATGAGGCAAAATTAAAATGTTAAAAGAGTTTGAGTAAACAACAATTTATGAATTAGGAAGTATTAATTCCAAAGGGGTTTTGTGCTCTGCTGACAAAGCACTGGGTGAACATAGAAGTCCAATGCAATTATTTGATTGGTTATAGTTGTAAAATTGACATTTTTGGTTTACCTTAGTGGGAAGTCCCTGATCATATAATTTTATTCTGGTTGGCTGTTTCTGATGACTAAGGTTAGGTTTTGCTTTTCTTTAACACAGGCATTTACCAGAAATGACCCAAGTTAAATTTTGCCTATGTTTGCAGTTTAAGCAAGGTTAAGGCTATTTTTAAGGTCTAGCTGTTTTTGTTTGCTCAGGAATTTTTCAGGCCTGGTCTCCATTTTAATTTTGCTTTAACAGATTTTAAATGTCTTTTGGAAGGACACAATTCAACCCATAAAACCATCACAGGAGCAGGCTGTTGTATTGACGAGTGAGAATTCTCTTCCTTTTACCAACCCACAGTCAATCTACTGATTGTCTCTGTATGCAGGCAGTAGGGCAACCCACTAAATATCTCATTTGGTTATTGCCATGCAGATATACCAAAAAAAGTTCTCATATTTTATGAAAACAATGATATATATCAAAATCAATAATCCATTTTCATACAACAACCTCATACCACTAATTCATGGAGGATACTTTAGAAATGTGCACAGTAAAGCTGGACTCTTGGGCTTGTGAGTTCTGAGTAGCCTGGTCCTGATTATCATTGATTGCCTCAGGAGTCAGTCCCTAATTCAGGACACCGGGGTTGATTTTGTTATTTCAACCCAACCTACGCCCAGGCATGGCCTTGCCTTATGATTTTAGACTGGCCAATAGTTTGTAAAGGAGTGACTTCCACATTTTTTTATCAGGGAGTTTTCTCCTACAGGTACATAGTTGATGAGGAAATAAATAATCAGCCTTTACAGTTTTTAGCCCTCTGGTGATTGACCAAAGTGGTTAGAACAGATGGCCACTTTTAAGTGATTCAGTTATGCTGAGTGACCAAGGGGGCCAGCAAGTGTTAAATGTTGGTAATCCATTAATTCCTCACTTGAGCCTTCTTTTAAAAAGAAAATATGCATAAAATAGAAATATAATGTACATGCATTGTAAAAATATGAAAGCAGTTTAATTTGTTTGAGAAATGGCTTCCCTGATAATCTAACAACTGACTTAGGCTTCTTCTAACTGCTTCCTCTTCTTCTATCCTCTGTGATTATTCATGTGATTCTTTTATGAATATTATAAATCTCCAAGTGCTGGAAAGCACATACTGTTTAAAATTAGTCGTAGCCAGATGAGAAGTGAAATATAGCTAATAACAACTATGTTATGTAGAGCATATTAAGTAAATATATAATATAAAAAATTAAAAATCATGAGTTTCATCTGCTGTCTCTTGGCCTGGTTAGCAATGTTTGTACTAACTTTTTTTCCCTTTAGGTGTCTGTTCAAAATTAATCTTTTAGAATTCTCTTCATGATAAAAAGATACCTGATGAAGACTCAAAACTGATAGGAATTCTTAGACAAAACAAAACAAAGAGATGAGTACTTAGCATCTGAAGTTAGTTACTCAAGCTTCTCTTATACATATATTGAATATCATTGAAATATTAGATATAATTGGCCAAAGCTCTGCAGTGGCTAATTAGGATCTAGTACTGGTGAAGTTAGCCTCTTACAGAATTCATATCAGCAGTTTAGACTTAGGCAACAGTGTTCTGGAAAACCTAGGAATTAGATGTGGACCTTTCAAGAATCTGCCTCAATAATAACTATGACATCTTAAAATTAGAGTTTGGGTGGACCCCATGGCTCTGTGGGGGCTCCATAAATCAGAAGGAATCAATAAGTATCCAGGCAATTTCCCACAGGGCATTCCACATTTAGACAACATCATCTCTAGTTTAAAGTTCTGATTACCTTTACACCTGTGTGTTGTGGCTATTACTCTACCATTGCGTAGAGTTACATATGGCTGCTGTTATAGTTTGAATGTGAGATGTCCCCCCAAAAGCTCATGTGAGACAATGCAAGAAGGTTTGAAGGAGAAATGATTGGGTTACAGCCTTAACCTAATCAGTGAATTTTTTCATGATGGGATTAATGCATGAGTGATAACTGGAGGCAGGTGGGGTGTGGTTGGATGAAGTGGTTCCTTGGGGGTGTGACTATGGTGTATATATTTTGTATCTGGAATTTTTCTTTCTCTGCTTTCTGATCATCATGTGAACGGGTTCCCTCTGCCACACTCTTCCACCATAATGTTCTGCCTCACCTCAAGCCCCGAAGAATCAAGCCAGCCTTCTTATGGACTGAGACCTTAGAAACCCTGAACCCTGAAATAAACTTTTCCTCCCCTACAATTGTTCTGGTTGGGTCCTTTAGTCACAGCAACAAAGAAGCTGACTAACACAGCTCCCAAGTTTAAAAAAAAAAAAAAAAAAAAAACTTAAAACATGATTTCTTAAAGCAGCAGCAACCATTTTATTATATTACATGATGTTATAGGTCAGAATTTTGAACAGGGCTTTCTTGGGTGATTCTTGAACTTGTAGCATTAACTGGGATTGCTCAGGGACATGCAACTGGCAGTTGAACTGGTCTGGAGTGCTTAGGATGGCTTCCTTCACTTATCTGGTACCTGGGAAGGGAAGGGATATTGGGTTTTTAATTCAGCTGAGCACCTTTCCTTCTCTATGTAATTTCACAGACTCTGTACATGGCCTTTCCAGTAAAGTAATTAGACCTTTTACCTGGCTATTTGGATTCCAAGAGTGCCTATATTAGAGAATTATAACCTGGTCTCAATAGTGGAGAATCACTTGCCTGATGTAGAAAAAATAAGGGGGTAATTGGACAAAAGGAATATTCAGGCTAATAGTATTTGTTTGCAGAATGAAGACTCCAGAATACATATTCCAATAAAAGATGGTGAAATAATATATGGAAGTTACATTTCATCTGTGCGTGATAGAATTTGTAATGGTCATCTTATGATGTTATGTAATAACTTCTCAAGTGACACTAGACATAGCACTTAACTAATTAACATTCTGCCTCATTTCACCTCTGCTTACTAGACTGAAAGTTAGTAAGAAATATGGAGACCTCAGTTCTAGACTTTTCTATTAATTTTAAGGGCCTTGATACCATTGCCTATAAATTTTGCAGTTGAAGTACATTCACCTCATGAAAATACAACAGATATTTATTAAATACCTGCAATAAATGTTCCACTCAATCTCATGCTCAAATGTTCTGACATCTCCAGTATCACCTTGTGTCCTTTTTTCCATTCACATCTTCATCTACTCTTGCAATTCACTGAGATTAGTCAGGCCATAGAGCTTTCACACACCACCCCTCTGACCACAACACTCCTTCTTTAGTGTTTGAACGACAAACTCTGCCGCAGTCTGGCTGGGCAAAATAACCGGGAGGTGACAAGCAACTTGAAGGTTGAAGCGGGAACTACTTTATTGTGGGGAAACTCAGCGGGAACTGAGCGGGAACGGCATCCAAGGTAGTGGGGGCCGCTTTATTGCGGAACAGCAGAGGTATATATACCTAACTGATTACACACAGCTTGACTCAATTAGATATAGCAATCAGCCAATAAGGAATCCTCATCATCTTAATGGCTCGGTGGCGTTGCCTCACAAACCACTCCTCCTGGCAAACTGCCAGGCTCCATCTTGACTTGATTTGCATCCCCAACAAAACTCCAGCTAATTCTCCCTTCAAGAGCTTTAACAGTACCTCCCAAAGATCATTCATCTTCCTTACCCAACCATTCTAAAGTGACCCTATTCTCGGATACAGTCCTACTGGGTTTCTTCTCTGCAATCTCACGGTTCCTTTTTGTTTTGTGAATGCATTTGTTTACAAGTTTCTTCTTGGTCTCTTCCACCAGACATTATACTCCATAAATTAACAGCTGTGCCTGTCTTATTCACCATTATGTCCCTGTCTTAGAACATAGCAGCATGCCCAAAATATGTATGGAAAGGTTGTTGTTAGAGACTCAGACTAACTTTCAGTCTAGTAAGCAGAGGTGAAATGAGGCAGAATGTTAATATTCCTTATGAGAGCTATGAGCAAAGTTCTCCAAGGGTTTTCAGGAATAACTGAAAGAAATTCAAAGACTTTCCTGGTGAAAAGGCAGAGAATGAATCAGGCTGAAAGAACCTTTTGAGGAGGCTGAATGATATTCCCTGTGCAATGGAATCAGCTGAACAGTGCGAGCCGTGGAGGGACATAGTCTGGTTGTGTAAAGTTCACTCAGGATGCTGTGTGTGAAGCTGATTGAAAAGGTAAGATTGGACAAGAGAACTCTGAAGGCATTAGGAGAGAGATCCTGTTGCTCATAGAGGAGTCAGTGGAGGTTAGAAAGGTAGATTTAAAATGGACTTGGGTAATAGTCCATTGTGTATATGTACCACATTTTCTTTATCCATTCATCTGTTGAAGGGCATCTAGGTTGGTTCCATAGTTTAGCTATTATGAATTGTGTTGCTATAAACATTGATGTAGCTGCATCACTGTAGTATGCTGATTTTAAGTCCTTTGGGTATAAACCAAGGAGTGGGATAGTTTGGTCAAATGGTGGTTCCGTTCCAAGTTTTCTGAGGAATCTCCATACTGCTTTCCATAATGATTGCACCAGTTTGCATTCCCACCAGCAATGTACAAGTGTATCTTTTGCCTCCGCATCCTTGCCAACATGTATTGTTGCTTATATTCTTGATAATTGCCATTCTGACTGGAGTGAGATGAAATCTTAGAGTAACTTTGATTTGCATTTCTCTAATTGCTAGAGATGTTGAACATATCTTCATATATTTGTTGATCAATTGTATTTTTTCTTCTGTTGAGTTCCTTAGCCCATTTTTTGAGTGTTTTTGTTTTTTCAGTATTGAGTTTTTTGAGTTCTTTATATATCCTGGAGATTAATGCTCAGCTTTAAAGAAGACTGAAATTATGGTATTTGCAGGTAAATGGATGGAGCTGGAGACTATCATGCTAAGCCAAATCCCTCAAAAAAAAAAAAAACAAAACCCAAAAGTGAATATTTTCTCTGATATG